CTGGAGCTGTTTATCTGTCATAGGTTGTCTGCGTTGATCCTGTCTGTGTCTTGGCTTTTGCCAATTGTTGTGGTTTAGGACTTCCCCATGTGTGCTTACTTCTGTAATTAGTTCTTATCCAATTCACCTGTTCCTTGCATAACATGTGACTTCCCTCTTGTCTATTTAAGGTCTTCACTGCAGTTCATTCTTTGTCAGAACGCTGATCAGTATTCATTTGTGCAGAGCTCCTCGTGTGCCATTTGTCTATTGCTTCTTCACGACTGTTTCACCCGACCTTGAGATTGCCATTGCCCTTCTGTTTCTGTTTTGTCTTTTTGGATTTTGACCTGTTTTTGTACGACTACGATTTCTGTTTTGGATGCCCTGTGTATGACCTACCTTTCTGGATTTCAACTACGAGTTTTGGCTTACTGTCTGTGAACCGTTGCACATCTGCCTTACTGGTTTTGACCCCTGCCTGTCTAGTCGACTTTGCTTTTTGGACATTGTTTTTGGCTTAGCAATTCTTGTGTCTTCTGGTCCTGACCATTTTTGCAATAAAGGCTTACGATTTTTGGATTACCCTGAGTTGCGATTGGTTCCTCTGAGCGTATCGTTACATCACCTCGCAGTGGCAAAGACCTGCCCGTAACATGCCAATGGCTCTTTTTCTCCTATGTTGTAAGCTGTTCCATTTTCTTGATGCCGTAGCATTTTTAATTTTTTTGGTTGACTTTATGTAGGCTATTGACCACACCAAAAAGAAAAAGTCAAGCATCACTGTACTCATCTCAAAGAACTCAGTGTTTGTTACTATTGAGATGCTTGGCGCGTCCATGTGGCGCGCGTCGGTACATGCGCTTTTTTTTTTATTTCCACTCGTTATCTCACTGGAAAAGCAATAAAAGCTGATTGATTCTTCAATTTGCGACAATTACAATACATACTTCACCAGTGCATTTTTAATGGTGCAAAGTGTATATTCGGTATGCAATAACAACATTACATTGAGAAACATTGATTCCTTTGCCTGATACATGGAAGTGGGTTAAGCTCAGCTGTGCAATTTTCAAACTGCTGTAATTTGGGTTGATTTTATTCACTTCTGAAAAATTGTCAGTTTTTTTTTTAAAAAAAAAAAATCTGGCCCTGTTTATGCCTGTAAGTTGCAACATTTTACACTGTTGATGGAATAGCCATACATAATACATTCCAGTGTTACGCCTGGATGCACTCTCTCTTTTTTTCTGTCTAGGAGCTGACAAATTTTTGGTTACACCTTTGAGAAACTAATTAACCTTCCTGATTCCTGAGCCTCGCCCCATAAAATTCTGTATGAGAACATGGAAGCTACAGGTATTCTTTTCTTTCTCCCTCATCTGAAGCACACCGGGAGCCGCACAGCTCACTTGTTTGCGAGCATTACGTACTGGCTTGCTTTTCTTTTTATTTTTAATGTGGATTTTTGTTGACAGTGGGTGATTATTTTATTTTGGTGCACCTTAAGTTTTTTTTTTTCTTTTGCCACAATAAGGGTATGCCAGCAAGCTTCCTGGAAGACCCACCTGCTTTTCTTTTGACTTGATGGTCAGGGAAGATCTTTTATAAGAGGGCAGGTGAAGTTTTTGAAGGGACTCTCTGCTCTCTCTCTCTCTTTCTATCTTCCTTTTCTGTCTTGAACTTTGCTTTGGTTTGTTTATTTAATTCTTTTGTCTTTATCCTTTTTAATTACCTTGGACAGACTTTGGTTGTGACAACAAGGTACAATATATTAATTCATACCTTTGATTATGTGGCACATTATTTCATTTCTCAAAAGAGGCATAGCTGCTAACCTTTTCTGGCACTACCTACTGATAGGAGAAGTGACAGGTGGCATATAAGTCCAGATGTGCTTCTCACAAGTCATACACGGACAACCTGATGTTTCAGGAAAATACCAAATATCCCCTTGCGTGTCCTCATTTAAGTAACACTCCCATCACTGCTTAATTAGAATTACACCCTGGAGATTCAACTCTTCCCAGTTGTGTGTACTGCTGGCAGGAAATTACTAGTTCGTCCTTGCAGCTGGTGAGTAATCAGAATTGACGCAGCAATCTGTCTGCGCACGTATTGTGAGTGCATGCATAAAAATCAGTCTGTTTCTCATTGAAGCACATTTTAGCTTCACCTTGAGAGATGTTTCTCACTTGCTCCCATCTCACTGGCTCCAACAGTCAAAAGTCAAAAGTTACCTATCCTCCATTCAAGCGAACTTTAACATACGTATAGAACTCAATAATTTTTTTCCAGCAAATAAATGTGTACTCTGTGTATTTTGATTTTTGCCTACTTGTCTTCATGTGTGCTGATTTGTTAATCCACTGTGACAATAGACAATAGCTTGTGGACCAATCAGGGGAAGGTTACTGCATTAAATCAATTATGCACACATTTTAGACATTATTGCACACAGGTTGCTGAAAACAAGAGTTAGTACCTGGAGTTTGATTAATAGTGACTGTTTGGCCTGAAAGCTGCAGTTCTCTAGTTTAAAACAAAGCTTTGAACCACATTTCTGGCCATTACAGTTTTTGAGATACATGGCTTTTTGTCACAGTTCTCAATACAGGTGGACACACCTGTTACTCAAGTATTGTTCGTTCATTACCCCTCCCCTTGTGTTTCCTCCCTGTACTCTGCACACTTGTTCCCACTTTGTTAATTGTTGGTCTTACACATTTAAGTCACTGGTTCTAATCTTCCCTTTGCTAGACTATTGTCAGCCATCTTTGGTGTTTAAACTCTGTTCCCTGTGCCTGCAGTCCTGGTAAGTGTCACTTCCCCCAGTACTTTCTTTTTCCATGTCCAAGAATATGCATTTTCTCTGTGTGCCCTGATCCCTTCGGCTGTCACACCAGCTACTGATCTCGGATCAGTCCTTTCTACTGCGCTTAGCCTGACCCTCAGTTCCCATTCACCCCCTCTTGATCTTGGACCGTCTTCTGACAATCATCTTTGTTTGTGATTAAAATAACTCCAGTCTTCTATTTAGTTCAGACGCCCTTGCAGCTGTGTCTGTATGCTGCATGTCTCCTGAGGTCTGATTTCTAGACACAAAATAATAGTAAAAGTTCATCAGAATTTTAAAATTCATCAGTGATGCCTCTGTTTGTGTGAAAGTATCACAAGAGTCCAGCCAAGTTTCAGCTAAAAATAGCAGGTCCAGCTTCTAATCTTTAATTAGGTCACTAACCAGTGCAGCATTTCTAGTTAAAGATTTCACTTTTAATAAAGCAAGTTTTTTAAATGTTCTCATTCAGCCCAGTAGCTGAGACTGCAGTCTCTGAGAGTTATTGATATGAGTCAGATTTTGATGGTTAGTTAACTGTGTATAGTTTTCTGTGTAATAAAATGGGATCGCCTACCTTTAATAACTTGAATAATCATGATCAGATGGGTTAAGGAAACAATTTGCAAGTCATTAGAGTGGGAGATATTACTGGCGCAACCTACCCTCCCAGTCCCATCACAGAGATTGCAAATGGAGGACAATAGGTGTGTTTTTTTTTTTTTTTTTTTAGGATTATTATTTGGGGAATTTTCCTTTATTTGACAGTTTTACACTGTAGAGATGCAGGAAAGTTGGGGAGAAGAATGGGGGAAGACATGCAGCAAATGACCTGAGCTGGAATCGAACCCAGGTCGCTGTGGGAAGGACACAGCCTTTATGGTGCGCGCGCTTAGACCAATGAGCCACCGGGGCGCCCCGTGGACAATGTTTTTGATGAGCAGTCTGGTGCCTCTGTGGTTTGGATTAAGGTTATTTCTCTTGAAACTAGCACTATCGCAACTTTGGTCGCACTCCCAGCAGCTGTCCGCAGTCCTGAAGTGCAGTCTCAGCAGCGTGAGTGAGCCCTGGCAGGAATCTCCTGAGGAATGCAACCTGGCCACACCCCTTGAATAGAGGCCTAATTAAAGGGTGTAGTTACTTCTCCCTGTGCTGGCTCTTCACTTTGCTTTGCTTGTATGGTGCAACAACACTTCTGTCTCTCTGTGAGACCATTTGCTATTTAACCTCTTCAAACCCAGCACCCCCTAGCAGTAAAGCAGGCATAATACCGGGTCCCATCCCATTTTATTAATTTGTATCAATAATTTATGCAAAAAAAAGTTGCTGTTGCAAAGCTCCATTTTTATGCTGATGATACAGTTATATGTGCTACTTCATCTTTAGCGAGTGCAATACATGACCTGCAAGGTGCTTTTAACATTGTTCAGCAAAATCTGTGTAGACTTAGATTTTTTTTTTTACTTAATGTGAACAAGACTAAAATTATGTTCTTAAGGTCAAAAAGGGTAACCAAACATGGTAATCAGATCCTAACTTTGAACAGTGAGATGATCAAGCGTGTATCAACATATAAATACTTGGGTTTTAGTTTGTACCTTAGAAGGAAATCAGTCTTTTCATCATATCAAGAAACTAACAAAAAAATTGAGGGTAAAATTAGGATTATTTTATCAAAACAAATGCTATTTTTCTTTTGTTGGAAGGAACTCATTCAAGCAAACCTTTTTGTCAGTAATTGTCTACGGGGGATGTTCTTTATATGCACGCAACCTCGCCATCACTGAAAATGTTGGACTCTGTGTACCATGCTGCATTGCGACTTGTTTCTGGTTTGGGTTTCCGCACACATCATTGTGTTCTGTGTCAGAAAGTTGGCTGGTCTACCTTATGCAACAGAAGAATGGAGCATTGGTATATCTTTCTGTATAAGGTCATCCCACTTGAACTGCCTTATCCTTGTTCTCGGCCGACTCCTGAAACTGTCAGTAGTTTTAATCTTTGGCCTCATGGACACATCATGTTTGTCGTTCCTCAAACTCTTTCTGTCTTTGGAAGTGCGTGCGTATGCGGGCGTTTTCCTCCCTTATGTTGGTCTGGGCTACAGAGTCTCCTTAAACTGGGTCATCTTATTAGTTTGGATGTTTTTAAAAACCAGAATTAGGGCTAATATAACCAGTTTGGGGGACGCGGTGGTACAGTGGTTAAGTGTGCTTGACTTGGGATCAAAAGGTCCTGAGTTCAAGTCCTTCCCTCAGCTTTCACCATGTGCTCTTGGGCAAAAACACTTCACTCCCACAGTGCCTCACTCCACCCAGGTGTATAATTGGGTACCAGCAAATTGTCAGGGAAACTTGACTAAGAGCTGGGGGGCAACCTGCAATAGACTAGCATTCCATCCAGGGGGAGTAGCAATACTGCAAGTTAAGCACCGGCTTGATGAGCCACATGGGCTCAGGACAGACTTTGCCTTTGCCTAATCAGTGTATACACGTTTTACTGGTAAACCCTGCTAATGTCTTCTTCTATTTTTGGCTTATCATAGTCTGTTGTTCTCTGTGAAACTTATGTGGCTGTCTCGTGCAGGAATCCCTTGAAAAAGATTTTGTATCTCAATGGGATGAATACCTAGTAAAATAAAGGTTAAATTTTAAAAAAAAGTCAATGAATTTAATAATCCAATAATATGTAATTGTGTGCTTCAGTGAAGCAGCACACTTTACACTCTTACATACCTTTATTATTGAATTTCTGACGCCAAAATTTTGCCCTCAAACTCTTTCCTCACTGTTAAAGTTTTGAGTCCGTTCCAACTTTAAAATGTTCAGCATGTTCTGGTTGCATCCGAAAGGATTTTGGCCTTCTGTTCATTTTTCAAAGGTCTTTTTTTGGCCCTAATGTATCCAGCCGTATTTAGGGATTCACCTGATTCCACTGATTTTTCAACATGTTCAACTCTTTCATGCTTAGAAATTTCATGCAACTTTTACATTGTTCGTCTTTTTTTTTTTTTTTTTGTTGTTGTTAAGCTTTAAAATATACCCTATCACCATCCGCATTCATTATTGAAGATGCTACAAATTATCCAATTACCAACAAACAAAAGCTGGCAGACACGATATCTTCCACCCTGGACTTGCCATCGGAGGGATTATAGCCCTGCTCTCATGTCGCCTTAAAGTGCATTACTTCGTCAAACCCATTCCCATTTAGCAAATTTACAAATGAGCAAATTTAGCAAACACAATTAGCAAAGTGGTGTTCAATTGTGAAGACCAATCCACAGAATTAGTGTCAATATGCATTTTTGTTCATTGCAATAGCTATCAAGCATTTTCTTAGCCTCATTAATGGTGGCATAAAATGTCAATGTCTTTTGAAACTTCTCAGTTTTCGTAGCTCACAAAACAGTTCAATCACGAAGACTTCGGATTTAAGGAAAGGAGATTTATTAACAATGCAATGACATGAAATAAATTCAGTATTTGGCGATGACTCCGTCCTCGAGGACCCTCAAGCGAGGTGGGGTGCTTATCTGCCTGGGTAGCAGGCAGGGGTGAAGCCATCCCCCATTGGACAGAAGGGTCATACGGATGAAGTAGATGCTGAAGAGGCCGGAGTCAGAAGTTGGTGGTGGTGGGCAGGCGGTGGGAGATGCGGAATCTGTGCAACAGCAGACAGGGACACATCAGAAGCATATATAAAGAAGACCGAAGGCGCCGATTGGGTAAGCGTAATTGCTTGAGAATCCTACGTCTCGTGATTGAACTTTCGTTTACAGTCCCATTTTATATACTATATATGCTTACTTCACTCTGTTTCAATAAGGGTGCCGTTGCAATTGTATCCTTTTCAAAAGCTTTGTAATCCAGCCTTAAACTGGAATGTCTTTAGAGACGTTATTCAACAAGAGCAGTCAGAGAGCGCAGCACCTCCGCCACACCAAGGCAACTCTGAGCATTAGTTATTTTTGTTGGCTGATGTATGGTATTGTTGCATTCCACCACCAGGTGGCAGCAAAACCCAAAAGCACACCGAATTGGAAAGACTTCAAATCCGTGCCAGCATAGTTGGATTTGAACTTTGGCCTAGATATGCCAAAATTTAATCACTTGTTCCTCTTGTGCTACTCTAACATCCTGCAAAGTTTGGTGAAAATCTATTTGCCCGTTTCTGAGATACCTTGCAGACAAACCAACCATCGTCGGCAAAAACATACACCTCCCTTGGCGGAGGTGAATAAATAAATCTATAATGATTAATCCAACATTGAACATTATATTATTAGGTATCCAATTTCCCATGTTGAAAACAGGTACTTTCATCCATTAACAATCCAACAATCCCTTGGATTACATCCGTAGCCCAATCAAAGGCTGTATTCTTGACTTTAGCGAAGTCAGAGACTGTGTTTTTGACTGGCAACCATGCTTGTTTGTAGCACTGATCTGTATGAAATTGTGCAATGGAATAACATGAGATGAGCTTATCCCTACTTCTTACAGATTTATACCATGGAAGGCAAGTGCTCAAAATAATAGTCAAGATAATGTAAATGTGGATTCTTCTTTGCACTATCGGGTAAGGAGTGCCCTATGAGTTGTCCATGGACGTATAGCTAGTTGTAATTCTGTCTTTTAACATTTTTTTTTTTTTTTTTTGGCTTCTTGACATGAAAATGGACTTAAGGTGATATCAGATGTCAGACTTTCATTTTTGGCAATTTTGAAGTTCATTTGTTGTTTAGTGGTTGGGGGGCTCCAATGTCTCCAGGCAAGCTGTTAGGTACACCACACATTCAGTGTGGAGATTGGGGCTATATACAGAATGTGTACAATAGGCTTGCACTTCAGGTCTTAGAGATGGAGGCACAGCTAACTGGAGAAAAAACAAAGGAAAAAATGAAAGGACATCTTGGACACCAGTGTATGCTGGTGTGCATGTCTGCTGCTTTTTGCTAGTGTTTCATAGTATAGTATGAAGGAGATGAGAAAACAAGTTGTAATTTTGATCAAATAAAGTCAAGATATATTCATGTAGAACAAGTTGCATTACCATGGGTAACTGCTCACATGGTGAATTTGCCAATCCAAAATTGGCAAAAAGTGACTTTTTAACTAGGACCTGTTTCAGGGTCTCCTAACTCCACTATTATGTCTTGGATGAAGTCAATTTTTCTTGTACAGACTGACCTAACCTCAAATGGAAGAAATCCAGCACAGTTTAGCCTCTGTAAGGGATCCTGACCTCATGGGGGGCCCTTGAAAACTGAATTTTTGATTTCCATCCATAAAAATTTTCATATTTGGGAGGCCAACATCTTGAAAATGAAAAGAGATAAATTTTTACAAGATATTCTGAAAGCCTGCACCCAAAATACCCTGGATAGCAGGGTAGCATTTTTATTTCTAGTTCTTCCCTGTCTTATTCATTTTATTCACCTAATTCTGCTTTTTTACTTATGCTTCTTAATATGGTTTTATGTATTTAGCCTCACTATTGTTGTAAGGTCACGCCTCCAGCCGTCAAGATCACCAGTCTTTTCAGACCCGGACCGCATTCTCAGCTCCATAACCATTACCGGCACCTGTTTGTCATTTCCTCTAGGCGGTAGTGTTGTGCCATTTAAGACCGAGATTTGCACATAGACTTTGCAAAGTCTTATAGCCACATGCTTGTGTTGTACCTCTGGTCTTGTATAGACTATTTCTCCGCGTATTGCATGTAAATTCTAATTCTCTAACTTTGTGCTGTTTATTGTTTATCAGCAGTTAATGATTAAGGAACCTCGTTTCCTCTCTCCTTTTTCTATTTTAGTAATACATTGTTGCTGTAACTAAAGCCCTGTGTTTGCATTACTAATAGCTTTATTAAGCAACCTCGTTTCCTCTTTTTGTATTGCTTCGTATGTGCCTCTCTGCTGTGCAGTGGGCACAATAAAAACAACCAAGTCCATCCTTGCACCTGAGTCCAGACCGCAACTTCCTTTCCTCTGTGCACATCACCAGTCTGCGAGCACAACCCTTACTATAGACCCTTTCAGTTTAAGGGCGTGAAAAAGCGAGATTTGGAGTGTTAATGCTCTTTGCAGACTATGTAGGGCAAAAGATGCACAAATCGCATTGAAAAAGAGGGGAATTATAAGTTATTTCGCTTTCCCCGTGGTTAAAGGCAGCTTACAGCATGGATTCGGACTATAAACAGGAATGATTTTTGTTCAGAAACATTCCAGGGTGTGCAGTGCACATTTTGTGTCTGGATGGCAAGATTAAGAATTCTGTATTCAACCTATGCCAATATCGGTTGATGTTTGGTTACCCAGAGAAACATTAGGATGTGTAAATACGTCGAGTGTACGTCCAGTCAAGGAAATTTTCGAGTTTAGTTTCAAGTACTGCTATTCGTGTAAGTAGCATATGGTAACGGTGGCTGCCATGTTACTGATGACACACCGGGTTGCCAGAGCAGGCGCAGCACATGCATTCGCGATATTAAATATTAATATTAAATTCTAAACCCCCTTTTCACTGATTTAAAAACTCCCTAAAATATATTGGCGCCCCCTTTTAACATTGTTCGGGCGAATAAAAAGCCGGAAAAAGTAGAGGTTGGATACGAAATTCTTTCCCCTTGACGATATAGTTACACTAAGCTTCATTAGTTTTCTCCTACAAACTGAAAGCATGGACTCCTTCAGCATAACGTAGACTTTAAAGACTTTATGGGCGAGATGCTGTCAAGGTAAGTCCTCAACGTTATTTTCAGCACAAATGAACATCCGAAATCAAATGTTTAGCATTCAGTCAAACAGTAATGATATGGCCTTGAATTTTACATGTGTACCTGAACACTTATCCATGTTGAGAGGAGATTAGAATCATGCACGCTTGCTGGTTGTTTTGAGCAATGCAAATTCGTTGCAAGATCACTGTAGCTATTAGCTGACTTATGGCGTGGGACTTTACTGGCAAGCAAATTCAACTTTGTTGGCAATATATTGCAAGTAATTATGAAACTGAAATCACAAGGAAACCAAATGATTATTGCCAGTAACGAAATGAAAACCACACCTACACTTAGATCTGAAGGGCTAAGTTCTATCATGAAAGGCCCACAGAGCTGACCAAGACAGTGAACGTCATGAGGCACCAACATGCCCCCTTTGGCTTGATATTTGTTTGTGTCGATTATAACATCTACTTAACGTTGTATATAGCCTGTTGGACCGAACAAAACCAGTCCCTTTTCACATGAGCCAATATGT